AAAAAAAAAAAAACCGTTATTTGTTGATGTATTTGTTTTTTATTTCCGTTTTTTTCTTGTATTTTCGTTTTTAGTGTATCATTCGCATTGCTGGCCAGGTATGTTTGTGTAATGCATGATTTATTTGCTTGTTCTCTTAAACTTGTTAGAAATATTTCAGAATTTTACTGTATCTCTGTTGATTTGATGACTGAAAACATTTGGAGAACATATACTAGCCAATGTGTACATGTGGATAGTTCAACAACAAGCAGCCAGTTCGATCGGTGGGTAACGGTATAGGCTAATTGATCCTTGATTTTTACTTTTTATTCCTTTAATTTTGTTTTTTTTTTTTTTTCATTTATATAATCAGTCGTTTTTGCTTTTACATATTACATACGCGAAGAGTAAACTAACTATTGTAGTTCTAAACTTGAATTTAAAAAAAAATCTCGCGACATGGAGCCCTAGTAATTTGTTGAAATTTTGGCAGTTTAATGCTGCCTTAAGAAACATTTTTGTATTTAAACAGTAACGCTCATTAGAACCTTCAGCAAGCAGTTCTTTGCTTTTGCCAATTTAAATTTTTATTTCTACGAAAGCCTACTTTGCTTTTTTATCTTTCGATCGTTATGAAATGTCAGTTGCTTAAACTTTTACTTTTTTTTTGATACTATCAAACTTATCTTCCATTTTCTTCAAAAATTTTTAATAAGGTGATTTTCATTCAGAACTATTGAACCTGGATCTAGATTCATTGGTAGTGAGCAGCACAAATTACTAAGATTGTCATTGTTATTAATATGAACAGCATTCTTATTGTTTTCGTTATTGTTATTGCTTTTATCGGTCTATTTCGTAACTACTGCTTTATTTTTTTACTGTTACTAACTAGCTTGAACAAGTTAACAGAAAGGCACATCATTGTTTTGTGTTAAGTGTGGTGTCTAGAAACCCACTAGCGAGGAGGATTTTGATTTGTTGTGTGCAAGAAGAAAAAGACTAACTATGGATTCAGAACATCAAGGTTGCGAATTTGTAAAATTAAGAGGAGTAGAAGCACAGGAGGGCTTTCGAGAAATTTGCGGATTGGAAGTAAAGTACTAATTGTTGAGTAAAAGAACTCCTTTATTTTTGCCTGTAGCTGGCTTGAGAACCTGTTTTTTCTGGTTTATTTACTTTTATTCTTTTGTCTATAAATGTACCTTGAAAACTAAAGTGTATTCTCTTTTTGTGGAACTTTCGTATTGTGGCCAGCGACTAGGGGATTTTAGATTTTGTAGCAAAAAAGGTTAAAAAATTTCTCCCTGGCTGTTGTTTATGGTCTTTGCTTAGAAAGTTTGCTTTTTTTTTTTCTTTTTTGGGAATAGGGTACCACATGCGTTTGTTTTGTAAACGTCTTTATTGTTTTCCCAGGGGAAGCCATTTTATTTTTCATTTCAAATAATACTGTTGCAACCAGTGCGTATTTCAGGGACTGATTTAGCTTTTCTTGATTGTTCCAGAATTATATGATCCCGTATTTTGCATATCGTTATATACAAAACAGGAGGAAGAAAGCTGCAATGGCTAACATCAGTGATACATTTGGAGATTTCCCGGTTCATGGCGTTGTAGAAGACAGGGTATGGTTTTGGTTGAAGAAACCGATTATTACACTTTAATTTCAGTCAGCTATTTCCAACTTAAAAGTAATACGGTTCTTACTTGATTTACTGTTTGGTGTTGCGGGAACTTTTGAGGGGGGTTTTAAATAGGTCTTACAGAATCATAATTTTCCTCAAAAAGCTGTACTCTATTTCTTGCTTACTGCTCTGATGCGTACTTGTTGTTGAGAATTGGCTTTAAGTGAGATTGTATGTAGAACGTTTATCAGAGGCTATATATAGATTAAAAGACTCCTTAAACTAGTATTAATTTGCTTATTAGATTATACTTTGGAGTAACTGATGTGAAGGAAGTAAGTAGGATGGAAGCTGCAGTTCTGCCCAATTTATCTTTAATGCCTTTCTCTTATGACCTATATCACAATTGCTGGGACCTTAGTTTCCGGGAATCGAATTGTTTTACTCACCAGCAATGTGGTGACCGTAAAACCATTTGTTTCTTAATGAGGATGGCTAGTTACGACTAGTTTATTGTTTTAAAATTTCGTTGTAAGCTTTTTACCACTTCTTATTGATACTGACTTAAGTTTATCTTGTGCACTTCGACGTTTTCAAGTGACACGATAGAATCTGCAAATGTTTTGAATTTCTTTCCTCAAACGCATAATTGTGAACAGTATGCTTATCGCTGCATGATAAGCACAGAAAATTTTTACAGTACTTTTTGTCCAGTTTTCGTTTGACTCTTAGGTTTCTTTTCAAGCGGGTTGGTATATAATTCTGTTTTAGGAGGTTTTCCATCTTTTTGGTGTTGCTGTCAAACGTAATGTTGAAGGGGTTGAGACAGCTGAGGATACTTTTGTGAATGGCAAACTTTCAGTTATTGAGAAGGTTATTATTCCATTATTTTTCAGTCTATGAAGTTTTTGTGGAATATTAATTTTTTACCGTCTAGGCTATGGGCATAGTTATTGAATGGGTCCCAGTAGAAGAAGATGACTGGGAACTTACGAACAATGAAGACCTTGAAAGCGTGAATCCTCAGAACTCTGCTGACAATTCTTTATCGTATCCTGATGCGAAGAAACTAAAATTTTCGGTAGACATAAAAGATTTGGGGTCATTCCAGTGCGTTGAACCAAAAGAAGGTTTTTATTAGGATATCTGTCTTTTCATACTAATTTTTTTATCGTTGGTTTGAATGAAAAGTAGTGCTCTTTGGATGTATGATTCAAAGAAAAGTATTATAGGAAAAGGATGTGCATGGATTCGATTTATAAGCAAAGATGGATCCAGTGTTCCTGTTATCTTTTTCCGCCAAGGAGGGTTATCATCATTCACTCAATGTTTACAAAAGTCGGTGAACATAACTTTGATTTCATAACTGTTGAGTGATTTTCAGCTTGTGCCTGATCACATTTAGATACATTTTGTTTACGTGTTGGTCAATATTTTGGCCTATTTAAAAAAAATTCTCATTTTGAAGAATCTCAAAGCGAGTCCCCTAAACAGCAAGCTGTAGCTATAATTTTTATTGTGCGTTAATTTATTAATTTGTAAATCATAAGTTTTTTTTTAGCTATGCTACTTTGAAACGTTCTGCTCGAGAAGCAAACTTAATACTTTTTACTGATGAAAGAGTTGAAGCTTTGGAACAGTCAGTCTCAATTTTAAATATCAACAGCGATTTCTTATCGGTAATTTTTCACCACAATTTTTTTGCATCTTTTGCAATTTTTGTGGGTTCAGGAGCTAATTATTTTTAGAGGATGATGAGTAACCCATATGCGACAGCAATGACGAGTTTAGGAAGGGTTGCATCGTTTTTTCAAGAGCAGGTGCTTTTTATTTGGCTTTTTTTTTCTCACGCACTTTATAAGTCTCGTAGTAATCTTGAGAAGCGTGTAGGTCATTCAGTCACTGTTGGAGACTGATGGAGTTGGTGCTGACGAACAAATAAAGCTCATGCAAGAGCTTCGTAAACGGGCTGAAGAGGAACCTTCTGTGGGGTTCGTGCTTGAAAAAGCATTGTTCTTACTTTCACAAATTTAATACATTTCTGCTTATTTTCCATAAACATTTATATTTCTTAACATTTTTTTCACTTTTCTTTGTTTTTTTTTTTTTAAAGTTGAAACAGTTTTCAGAACTTTTAAACTTCCTGTTGAAGATGATGCTGGTTTTGAATTAGTAACGCAAGTTGTCTTACCGCCTCGAAAAAAGGTTGAAAGAGGAGTTCCGGTAACAGAGGAAGTTTGGGATAGTTTTAAGTAAATACTGTTACTTATTGGTAGCATACTTCCCTAACGGCATCCACTTTTTTATTTTGAAAACCAACGCATGATCTGTGTATTTGGGTTCAAAAAAAATAGTTTATAGGAAACCGGATGGATCTTTTGAAGATGTGGGTCGGTTAAAAGATTTGATTTTTCGAGGGGGTTTGGTGCAGAGTTTGAGACCTGAGGCGTGGAAATATCTTTTAGAAGTTTTTGACTGGTCGAAACCGTTAATTGAAAATGAAGCGGTAAGTACTGTTTAAGCTACTTCTAATCCAAAATTCCTCTATCGTTTTTGCGGTTTCCAAAAACTATCTTTAGGCCCAAGTTTCTGCTGAGAAGGATTACTATAGAATGAAATCGCAGTGGACAACCATATCCGCAGATCAAGAGAAACGGTTTACTGAATTCGCTGCTCATAAGGCATTAATTGGTAGTTCCCTTGAATTATTTCAATATTTACTACAATACCTTATTTTAATGCTGTTATACTTTCTAATGATTCAAGAGTGGTTTGCTTTTCAAAGTCAGAAATTTTTGATATTTGTTTTTGCATATCGTCTAACTTTTAGAAAAAGATGTTGCGCGGACTGACCGAACTCATGCTTCCTTCAGTGGAAATGATAATAATAATGTGGCAATGCTGAACGATATCTTAATGACGTACTGCATGTATAATTTTGACCTAGGTAAAAGTTTACTTATATGGAATTAGTTATATTGCTAACATTCTTATCCTCATCTTTGGTCTTGTTTTAGAGGTTTTAAAGGTTACAGCTTGCATTTTATTTAAAGTTGATTTTACTTTTATTAACAGTTTTAGGTTACGTCCAAGCGATGAATGATTTTCTTTCTCCCCTCCTTGTTGTTTTTCAGAAGGAAGTTGATACTTTTTGGGCATTTGTGAAGCTTATGGAGAGGGTGGTTGGTCTTTTTTACCTTTAATTTCAACAATTTTTGGTTATGCTCATTCTAAATCTTTACTGTTTTTTATGTGTGGCTATCAGCCTTTTGCAGCAATATTTTTAAATGATTGTTTGAATTTAGTGTGGAAATTTTGAATTAGATCAGTCTACAATGAAACGCCAATTTATGGACCTTCGTAATCTCCTGATGGTTGTCAATCCAAAGTTTACCAATTATCTGGGTACCTGAATAATTTTTTGCTATAACACGCTGTTGATCAAAATTTATAACCAAGGACTATTTCCAGAAAGTCATGGGTCGGATCACATGTATTTTTGTTTCCGGTGGATACTTGTTGCATTCAAAAGGGAATTCAGTTTTGAAGATACCATGAGGCTTTGGGAGGTAGGCTTTTATTTTGGAAAACCTATCAACCATTATTTAAATCTTTTTTTTTTAAAATTAGGCCTCCTACAAAGTTATTATCTAATTTGTCGTTTTAGGTCTTATGGACAGACAGGCCGTGTAAAAATTTCCTTTTATTGATTTGTGTTGCTGTATTAGATAAACAGATGAATACTGTAATTGAAAATAAGTTCGGTTTGACCGAAATTCTTAAGGTTTGTTTGCTTTCATAGCCTTCTACAGCTAAATTCTTAACTTACTTAATGGGTGACTTTTTTACAGCACATTAACGAACTGTCAATGAGAATAGATGTCGAGGAAACCTTAAGCACTGCAGAAGCGATATTTCATCAACTGGCTGAAAGTCAAGACAAATTGCCTTCACATATCTGCAGTATCCTTGGCTTGGAAGATGATTCTTAGTTTGTTTTATTTGTACAGACTTTAAAAATCTTGCTGTTGTATTTGGTGTTTATATTTGCTTCTGCGCAAAACCCATGTATCATTTTGTGAAACAAATGCGTATTTTGATTTCTGTTGCAGGTTTACCTTTATTTTAATCTAAAGGAATTGGGAGCATTTGCAGAGGCATTTAATACTTGCTGTTTGAGACTTCTACCACTTAAAAGAAACGTTTTTCCTCGTTATATTGGTCTGAATAGAGCTCTATATTTTTCGAAACAACTTATAATACCTTACTTATCTTGTGAAATTTTTTATTTTAAAGAATTTCTTGATTACTTTTCTTAGTTTTTTAATGTTTTGTCGAAGATTTCTTGCAGTTTATGGATTGAAGCTGCTTTTCACTCTTTACTGTAGTGGAGGAAGCAGTTTTGATTTTTTATATACAGCAGTCTCTTTTACTGAAAAGACGATCGATTTGAGTTTCATCTGGAGAAAAAATTATTTGTGTGGTGTTCTTTTTTTTCCTCTTTATGGTTTGGTTTGTAAATAGATCTCGAAAGAAATTTGTTTGGAGGTGTTTGAGTCGCTGCAGTTGTAATATACCTTTGAAAAAATTCTTTTTCAATTTTCCAGTGATATTCAATGTGGTTTGGGGAGCCAGATAAGTGGATGATATTTTATTAATTTGGAGTTTTCTGCAATTTAATCTGGACTTATTTGGGTATTAATGTTTTTGTGCTGTGTTTACCTTTTGCTTTATAGTTAAGGATGTGGTAGAGGAGAAACCTAATGAAAAACAAAGTCGGCGAGTGATTTTGGCAATTGCGTTGTGTTTTTTTTTACTGTCACTTGGTAGTTGTTTTTTTTTGGTTTCTTATAGCTTGATTTTTCCAGACGATCGCTATTTCACTTGAACAGCAAGTTTCGGCCGTTACAGTTGTTTGAAAGAATGACAGTCAGGCGGAGAAGTCATTTCTTTCTGAGGATTACGTGCTTCAATAGAACCGTTTCACGATTGTCTATAGAATGCGATGGTTTAGATGTCTTATCTGGAGAGCACAGTTTTTTTCTCAAGTATCTGTCAATCCTTCAGTTTTTTAGACTTATTATTATGCATATTTTGAGACCTTCTCCGGATAGTATTTCTTTTGATAACATGCCATTTGTCATGGAAAAAAGTTTGAAAAACCGTAGGGACGTGATGTTTGTTGGGCTGAGATTGTCAAGTGGAAATATGGTTTGTAGTGATGGTGCCTGATTGTGGAAGCAGAAGAAGGGCGATAACAATGTTGAAAGGCTAAAATGGAATTTGAAAAAATGTGTCTGATAACAGAATGGCACAAATTTATGTTCAGTAAACACTACGTTCTTTGCTATTAGTGCTCTTGACCACTTATGTTTGGTGTATTTGAGACTTAAGTATTGCCGAAGAATATGTTTTTTACAAAGCTGAGGCCCCTTTAACATTTGTCTCTGAAAGTTTCGATGACTTTGGTACTGCTGACGAAAAAAGCTTAATAAACAGCTTTAAAAAGTTTTGAGGCATCCACGGGTGCAGCGTGCGTGAAACAGGACAGCAGCAATGTTCTCACTGTTAATTCATACAAGTTTTACACGTTTAGCATCGAGGTGCTGGTCGACGGTGAGGAGGCAAATTGCTGGAAGTATCTTTGTGACGGTTTTCTGTTGCGAAAGTAGATTAAATGGTGTTTAGATGTTTGGTAGAAGATAGTAGGAAGGGGAGTGAGAAAAGTGGCAAACGCATAGGAGAGGTGTACTTTGTATTGCAAGAAATAATTGATAGGCGGAGAAATTTCTGTGAAGATTTGTTTTCTGTAGATACTGTTGAAGCAAAACGAAGCATTTTTGATAGAATTTGTACATTTGCTCATCTTCAACGGATGTTTGTTGAGTATAACGTATATTAATTTTCAGAACCAACTTGCTCTTCTTTGAACCAATTTTTGTTTGTTATATGTTTATTTGTATTTGAATGTTCTTTTTGTTGTCAAAAGATAGCATTCCCAGAACGGTTCAATAGCTGTAAGCTAATGTTAATTGTTAAAATATGTAAAGTGGAACAGAAATTTTTACTGTTAAATACAGTTATCTGTACTGGTGGAAAACAGGCTCAAATTGTTTTAAGGACAATTTATTATGGAAGCTGAAAAAGGGTAATGGAAAATGAAGTAACTTTTAATTCTGTTTAATCGCTTACTGCCAGGAAAGTAATAATACAAAAAGGAAAGGATGGCCAAAAAAAGAAAATAGATGAATTTTTCAGACTCCACATCAGAACTATTTGTAGTTTCCATTTAAAAGATTCTTTTAACGGCATTTTATAGAAACGGAGCAGAAAAAAAGATATGTTGTATACAAAGAGGACTAGTAAATGCACATACGTACAACACACATTCACACACACCCACAAACAAATACATAGACTTACACAGTGTATATCATCTATCAGAGCATTCAAAAAAATAGCGGTGAATTACTCAATTGAAGTAACTAACTGTATGCTAAAATTTTCTCTTATATACATACTATTGGAATATGTTACCGGGGCGAGGAGGAGGAAATTGGGTGAAATATAAAATTCTTAGATGAAAAAATTATTAAAAACAACCGTTTAGTGCTTTTTTATAATTTAGTTAATTAATTTAGTTAATTTGAGCTTAGAAAGTTTGTAAAGTTCAAAAATTTTTGCCAAGTTTTTTGAACT